ATATAGAGAGAGAGAGAGAGAGTCCTGACCATCTCCACATCGACCCCTTCGATGGACACAGGTTGGAGATGTGGTTTCTTCCTTCCGAAGTCCACCACCACCTCCTTGGTCTTGGAGGTGTTCAGCTGCAGGTAGTTGGACCTGCAGCATCCCACAAAGACCTCAATCATGCTCCTGTACTCCCCCTCCTGTCTGTACTTGATACAGCCAACTATCGCATCTGAGTATTTCTGCATGTGGCAGAGCCCAGAGTTGTACTGTAAGTCAGATGTGTACAAGGTGAAGAGGACGGGAGAGAGCATGGTGCCTTGTGGTGCTCCGGTGCTGCTAACCACAGTGTCTGACGTGCACTCCTTCCGCCTGACATACTGTGGTCTCTCTGTGAGGCAGTCTGTAATCCATCTCATCAGCTGTGAGTCCACCCTCATCTCTGTCAGCTTGTCTTTCAGCAGAAGGGGCTGGATGGTGCTGAAGGCACTGGAAAAATCAAAGAACATGATTCTCACAGCATCTTTCATGTTATACACATTTTCTCAGAGTCAACGCATCATCACTGATACATATCAACATTCAAACTTTGGGGATAATTTCAAACCCAAAATTACGTTCAAACCCTTATTATTCAATTCAGTTCTATTTGTATAGCACCAAATATCTAATTCAACATAGGGACTCTTCTCTCATATCTACGTTGTCGAGGGGGTGAAGCCTTTGGCCTTGGCCATGTTCCTGTACTTCCCCAAACAGGACGGCTGCACTACATCTCAAGGAGAGGAGACAGTGTTTCTGAAAACAAATGAATAAACATACTAGATATAACAACCTCAAATAAAAATAAAAAACTTAATTAATGAATTAATCTCATTTAAAATCATTGTACAGTACCAATTTTGCTTGGATATGTGTAACTGTGCAAGGAAAACCTCTAACTTGGTGCACTATGAAAAATATTATGGTTGGCCTCAATAGCAATAGCCAATTTTGTTGGATGATATATTGTCCCAGAACCCATTGCAATACAATACATTGTTGTCAGAACTCTCAAACCAATTTTAAACATAGATATAATTATGTTTTGTGGGGCAAGGGTAGGGAGCAGGTGGACCCAAAAGGCAGAACAAAAGGTTTTCAACAAAAGGTGTCCTTTAATTTGGAAGGCAGGGTATAAATACAAAATGCAAAATCAACAGTTAACACAAAATGCTCTAAGGCAAAAACAGGGGAGACGCAAGGAAACACTATAAACTTACTAGGGGAAGTAGAAACGGCAATGAGTGGTGGAACAACATAGGGAACAGCATCTAACAACAACAAACTGACAAAAACATGGGTAAGCACAAAGACTTAAGTACACACTGAACTTATGAGACACACAGACAGGTGGCACAGGACAAACAGGTGAGCCTGACGAGGGCAGGAAGTCCAGGGGGAAAACACACAAGGAGCAGAAACTACAAAATAAAACAGGAAATAGATGAACACATGTTTGAATGAGAGGGATTTGCCCTCTGGTTTGATCACATGACCCAGACCCTTTTGTTGAATAAATTGCAATTTAGTGAAGCTGTATCACTTTCACATATTTCACATGTGGCTGCAAATCATCTACATTATGCAACAGGGCAGATCTTTCCGGGAGTGGCAATGGTTCAAGACGTTTATTAGCACCTCATTAAAGATGGTGGGAGATTAACAACAGCCTTGACATAGGTGAGTGAATTTCCAACCATTACTCCGGAAGCTGAACAAGTATTGCCTGTATTTTCTTAACAGGACAAATAGTTGTGCTTACTTGGTGATTTGTTGCATGGAATGATTACTCCCGCTTTCTGCAATGATTCAAAAACTGTAGGAATACCTTAAATGGCTTCAGGTTTTAGGTTTTGGATATTGCTGTTTACAGGGCCTGCAGTCAGATTTAGGCATAAAAACAGGTTCCCATTTTTTTAATCTAGCCAACGTCATGTTTGCCTTGAGCCCACAGTGTCTTAGGGATTTCCTGTAGGGCGGGGATGATTACAGTCAGGGGTGCAGATCCGATGTCCGGATTGGGGGGAGGGGGGCACAAAGGAATTTTTTTTTTTTTGCCTGTATGCAACTCATACCATGCCACCATAAATCACAACTTTGTAGAGGCTCGCCATATCACTGAAAAAGTACTGCAGAGGGATTCATTTATTGTGCTTGCCTTTCTTGTTTATGTGTCCTAAACAGCCAACAGTGCGTATCTCTGCTTACTTAACTGTTATATTAGTAAATCATAATTTTAAGGGTCTCTGACATTTATTGCCTACTCACGTTCTTATCTTTCGCCTCCCTACGACCCTCCCAGATCCCCAATTTGTCAGGCACACAACTCGAAGGAAGGACTCGGATGCAGAGTTAGGGAAAAAACAACTGGAGCAGCTCTTGTGTTTATTTTCACAAAAACAGACACAACAGAGGATGCCTCGATAAAGAGGGGATGATTACAAAACTTACAACTCAAATATCTTACCTTCCGTGAAGGGACAAGGGAAAGAAAAAAACAACAACTCTTAACTAAAGTCTGATCTAAACGGGGAAAAAGGCTATGAAAATTAGTTACTAAATCAAATCACCTCCTGCGAGGGAATTAACTATAAACATTAACAAAAGAACAAAACTCCTACAATGAGGGACAATACTTCTAATATAACTATGAACAAAAGCTCCTTCAAAGAGGGACACGTTATGAACTAAAATAAAACTCCTACCACAAGGGACAATACTTCTAATATAAATATAAACAAAAATCTCCTCAGAAGAGGGACAAAATCTAACAATAACTAAACTACACTAACAAAAGAAGCTATGAAAACTTAAAGGCAAACGCTAACAAAAAACTCTTTACAAGGCAACCGACTGAAACTATGGTTCTGTGACAAAAGGCTGGTGAGACTCGACATGAGACAAGACACACTGGCACAGGACAAAGAGAAGACTCAGACTATAAGCACACATGGAGGTAATGGGAAACAGGTGAGTATAATCAGGATCGGAGAAGACAATCAGACCGAGGCACATCAGGAAGGGCAAGTGACCTGAAACGAGAGAAGAGTTACTTTTCAAAATAAAACAGGAAATCACAATACAAACATGGCGACAAGACAAAAACTTAACTTGACTTTTGCTGAGGTGTGACACAATTCTTCTCACCATCTTCCTTTTCTCCCAGTGTATGGGACTACTTTATGCATGATTAATTGATATGGATGAATATCAAAATATGAAGCCCTAACCAACTTGTGTAAACTAACTGATCATGTTTTTACAATGCCAGTTATGCTGGTAAACACAAAAAACACAGCTCTATGAACACAATAAACACAATACAAGTTGACCCAACAAAATCTGATTTATTTACATATATTTATATAAAATCATTCATTGTTTGTTTTCATCTGCCATTTTCCAGAGATCATGTATCTGTATAACTCTTCTCATCTGTAGAACTCTTCTTATCTGTATCTGGACAACTCCTGGATAAAATAAAGGATAAATAATTTTACAAAAGTCCTTATAACAAAATGTTTAAATGTAAAATGTATCTTGTCCTTTATTATCGTATTTCTGACCAGTAGACTCAACAAAATCCTGAAAATCCTGAAAATCTATTCAAATAGTTTATTTCAAACCAATCAGATGAAACAAATACCAACCAACCAAAACACCAAACAGAACAACCACTTTCGTTTGAAATGGGGATAGAAGAAGCAGAGCTGATCTATTTCCAACCTCAGTCATCACAAATTTCATCAACATCATCAACAAGTAGACTCAACAACATCATGAATTCATATCGATTCATTGTACAATAATGTGAGTATTGACCACTGAGTATGTGAGTCTGATCAC